GCCACACACACACACACACACACACACACACACACACACACACACACACACACACACAAATAAACAAAATGAAAGTCTTTACCAGCATGTCAGTGGCACTCAGGTAGTGTTTGCTGGCCATACATTGTTCCAGTTTTTGAGGCACTTGTTTAATGTTTTCAATTTCATCCAAAAGGTTCAGGACATGCTTGTGCTCAATGCCCTCAATCCACAGTTTTCTTAGTTCATCACGCTTGCAATGAAGAAGCATCTTACATGACAAAAGGTTTTCTTTCACCTGACATAGCAAAAGACAAAAGAATGTTAGAACTAATTAAAAGTAAAAAGAAATGAAATCTGGAAAAAGAAACACATGGAGGCTGCCATTGCTGGTTTCGCCTTCTAAAAATGCATTGTCCCGCATTGTTGTCCTGATCCACTTTCTGTGTCACTGCCTTGGAACATATAAATAGATAAAGCCTTCTGACTTTGAGTATACTGATCTGCATAGCTGTGCTAGGTCAGAATCTGAGAAGTACTGAAGCAAGTTTAAGCACAACAGCCAGACAAGAATTTTTAGGAGGTTAGCAATGGCAGTCTCAGCTTTTTTTTTTTACTGATGACAGGTTTACTTTAAAACCTCTTAGTTTAAAGCTGCACACCACTGAGGGCCCGCTCCTTTGCGTTGCATTCATTGCACAGTACAGTGTGATTAACTCTGAATATCGAGCAATGCACCTATCGTGCATTACAGTTACTACTTTTCTCTGCGGTAGTGCACATTACTGCAGTACTGCGCGTTGCAGCACATTATAGCAGGGGGTGCTTTCAAATCAATGCCAATGCAACACACCTGCTGCACTGTAACGCAAGATAGGTGCTCTGCGCAATAATGTATGTTTATCGCACATTACCACATGATTAACGCAATGCATTGGTGTGAACAAGCCCTAAATCTTTGCATTTCTGAATAACATATTTGACCAAGCCTAATATATGAACTCAATATTCATTGAGGTGTATGGTTTGTAAATATTAATGATCAGTTACATCTGATTTCTGCTGGTTATCCAAGATTATAAAAATTACTGTGAGACACTCGCTCTCCTCTCGGACACGCTGTCACCGGAGGCTGAGCGAGAGCGGAGCAGGGAGGAGAGCTCAGCCTCCGGTGACAGCGTGGGTTGTCTCCGCCCACACACCGCTCTGCCGGACTGTGATAGGATGCTGAGCCGTGTGGCAGGGTAGACGCCGGCCACTCACAGCGCCCTCCTCTTGCAGCGCCGGCTGTCACACTTTCTCTCCTCTCCGCTGGGACACAGAGCAGCGCCGAGCGGGGAGGAAAGAAACCTGGGATGCGCCGATGTATCGGCAGGAAAATGGCACTTTTGGCATTTAGCCAAAAGTGCCATTTTCGGACGATATGTTTCGGCGGCCGATATATTGGTGCATCCCTAAATGAAACCACATTCACTGTTAAAATGTAATTCGGTTAAGAAAAATTTTCCAACATTTTTCTTCAAATTTTTTCATAACTGGTTTCAAATTGATCATCTATTTCACCACATCAACAATTAAAAAGTTGAACCAACGTTCTGAAATCAATTTCATTCATTCAAATTTCTAACCGTGTATACCCTACTTTAGACATTTCAAAACCTCTACTTCCATTGAACAAACTTAACATTATCTGTATTTAGCATTCCCCAAGGAGGGGTCTTTTTATGGGAACATAGGTGTGGCTCACCTGTTTGATCTTGTTACGGGAGTTAGTGATACGTTCAGTTATGCTCTGGTAAGTACGTATGGCAGTGGTGAGCTCTGTAAAGTGCTGCTCAATCTTCTCATCCAGGTCTCGATCACATTTTTCATAGGCTTCCTCCAAGCGACCTCGCTCTGTCTCTCTGTCTTCCACATCATCACTAGTTGAAAGGGTCCTAAAACAACAACAAAAAACTGAGATTGAAGTTTTTGTAAATTAAATGCAAATAAAAATGGGTTTACATATAATTCTCTACCCTTTCCACTAAGAAAAGCTCAAAGTAGTATTCTTCTATTAATTGTATTGTATAACAATGACAGATACAGAATGATCAACAGTAATTCTTAGTAAAACTATGTGCTACCTGATTTCATTATGAGATACACTTCAAGCTGTAATTATTCTAATTTTTCTAAAAAATATTGATGAATCCAACTGCCCTTAACAGAGTCGAGGAAGTTTTATTTTTTCAAAACAAATAAAAGGAGGATACATTGGCAGTTACCTCACTGCAGTTTTTTTTTTGTTTTTTTTTTTAAAGTTTAATAAATTAATTCTATAAGTAAACTTCTAATTAGAGAAACAGAAAGGCTGCCATTGATAATCGCTCCCACTGAAAATATTAGTTGCTGCATAATACTGTCCCTCTGGATTCAATATTTTGAGGCTCTGACCTGGAACAAGTCTGCAGATAATCATTAATGACTTCCATGGTCTACATATCTGGTCCTGGTTACTAGCTAAGAAAATATTATAGCCAGTGTAGTGTGTCAGCATACCAGCCAGGCAACCTCTTTTTAGATATTACAAAAAACATAGCAAAGTGTTTGGTTCCGTGAAGAGTCCAATTCACTCATAGAACTAGTTCGATCTGATAAAGTCACTGGCTCTCATAAATAAAACTTTTAGCATAGTTTCAATGATAAATGAGACCCGCAGAGCTGCAAATGCAGGCATATTTTCTGGTCCCTGGAGACAGCATTTACAGAATTAATACAACCAAAGTGTCCGAGGGGTGTCGATTTGTGTTTTATTATGCTCCACACACATTTATGCCTATTATCCTAAAAACATTTATATCTCGATCTAACAAGGTTTTACAATGGTTGAATTAGGAGCCTTTTGAGGATTCTGGCTAATGGAGATTTACATCCTGCTATACTTCTAGCTTGGACTGTTTAAGTGTGATTTTACAGTACATTCATTTTAGCTAAATGTCTTCAACTACCCTGTTTCCCCAAAAATAGGACCTACCCCGAAAATAAGACCTAGTACTTTTTTTGGGAATTGCTAAAATATAAGACCTACCCCAAAAATAAGACCTAGTTATGACCATTCCCAGGGCCGGTGGTGGCATAAGGGGGAACTTGAAGAGCTGCGGGAAAGAATCAGCCGTGCCAACGAAGCCAGCGCTAGAGGAAGCAAGGCGGCACCGGAGGGAGCAGAGCCGCATAAGCCGATGCCTCCTCTGTAGCGCCGGCTCCTGTCACACACGGAGTCATACCAAATGCACTCCGCCTGTGAGGAATCGATAGTGAAAGTGCGCTTTGCTCATTCTGGCCAGCGATTGGTTACCAAATTGCTCTTGGAAAGGTATGGCACCCCTGATTGCCCTGATCACCATATTTTTGTACCCAAGTACATGTAGACTGTTGTACATGAATATGTGTGGATTGTTGTACATTAAAAAAAAATAAGATCTACCCCAAAAATAAGACCTAGTGTGTTTTTTTGAGCCAAAGAAAATATAAGAAAGTGTCTTATTTTTCGGGGAAACACGGTAGCTGTTTTTTGGTAAAAATGCCATTCTCCCTACCACAAATATGAGATTTAAATCTGCACCTTTTTATGAGCAACTTTCAAATTTTGGAGAAATGAGGATGGAACTTTGTTCAGTAAGATACCTCCATTCACTCCACATAGTATGGGATTCTCAATCTAGTGACAGCAAGGTCCACTTATTTACAGTGGGCCCATCCCCTTTGGTAAATGCTGAAATTAACTTGGAAAAAAAAAATACTGTGGGGGACACCAAGTTAGATAACATACTTACCCTTCCCCAGCTTCCGCCTGTGGCACCTAGGAGAGGGTAGCATCACTATGTTGCAAGCAAGATCCTGTTAAGTTGCCTAAATCTTTCAAGAAGACAACCCTGCACTCTACTGCAGCAGATTTGGAAGTATTTTTTCGAGATTTGGGCTACTCAGCATTTCCCATGATCTTGTTGGAAGGATGGCAATGCCCCCCATTGCAGTACAGGAGTCAAGGGAAAGTGAAGGATGTTACCTTCCACATTAAATAGGAGGCTCTTGCTTGGAGTAAGGGAAAACAGTTTTGCTTTAGGTTTGCTATGAATTAGATCTGTTAATTAGTCTGACCCTGGCAAAGTGCAGATTTTCTTTAAAAATAAGTTGAACATAACAGACTTTAGTATTTTCCCATCAGTCTTAACAACTTTGTGTGTTGCAAAACAAAACAATTATGACATTTATAATATGCATTTTGCTTATTAAAATGAGTGTCTTGCAGCCCTAGCGACATTTGAAATAAAAAGAAAATGCTGCATATAGTCTAAAACAATAAACAGAAAATAAATCAAATAGTGGACTGAAAAGGCTTGTAGTTTTGATAAGCACATTCTTCAGCAATGGCAGGAACTGTGAATATCCTGTTCAGTTTCCTTTGTATTTACATTACTTTCCTGTCTAGATTTTATTTTTGACACACGGAAATCTCCATGGATAGGAAAAACTACAGGAACCAAATCTTGAAAGATTGGGTTTTTAAGGCTATGTTCACACCATATCCAGACCATTTTAGCTTAAAATGGTTTTTGCATTCATTTTTGATGCTTCTAAATGAGTTCCATTGCGTTCTGGACAATGAGACAAGCAGTATTTTTTTTTTGTCTGGACCGGAACGGACTGCGCTGGTGTGAACAGAGCCCAGAAATACCATAGGGATACATTGGGACGCTTTTTTGGCTCAGAAACAAACTGTTCTGGTCTGGACATGATGTGTGAACAAGGCCTAAAAGCGACACACACACAAATAATATACTTGACCAAAACAGGGCTAAATGAGGCTTGGGGACCAGGTTTTCAATTCATACAAAATGTCAGTGGTCATGCTATGGTAGAACATCTACCCTTACTAACTGTGGTTCACAGTTACAAAAAACTTACAAGAAGGAATGCTGCACAGACTGAAGCACAGAGTACGTAAATCAGAACTCTGCTGCATCACTATGTTTTAACATGGATAAAACAGATTCCTTTTGATTGTCCCTTTATTGAAAAGCTCCAGCTTATATATTAGCAAATACCAAATAAACCTATCTGCATTTCTCAGTCTGAACCAATTAACCACAGCAAAATCAATTAAAACTGAAACAGAAGCTGCAACATTGGTGAGCTTTTCTTATCAATACCTGCCTAATCACACCATGGCTGGAAATAGGCTTTAATATCAGATGAGGATCGACACACAAATTTGTCTGGACTAGTGGTGCACTGAAATGGAATTTTCGCCGAAACCAAATATTCTTTTTCTATCCTTTTTCATATCATTTTTGTAATATTTTATTTTTACTTTACTGTCAGGTGCTCTGGGAAAATAGCAGGGGTCTAAACAGACCCCTGATATTCCCCTTTTGAAATAGAAAAAGAGATTGAGGACACAGAGTTCTCAATCTCTTTTTCTGCAGCCCCTGTTATGAATGAACAGGAAGCCTCTATACTGAGTGTTCCTGTCCATTCATAAACTGTGGATATAGTATGAGCTACTATGTCCACGATCATGAATGTACAGGAAGTGATGTAAAACAGGGATTTCCAAGGACAAGGCAAAGGTTCGGTACACTGGAAAACTTCCAGGAATTCCGGGTAAATCACAAATGGGGGGACTCGGCAACTAGCTTAGGAAAGCGTTGCTCGGGCAGCGTGCCGTTCGCTGCCCTGGGTTTAAATAGAGACAGTAAGAGGGAGGATACACAGGATTGGCTACAAGCAGACTGCACTGATTGGACAAGAAGCTGCATAAGAAACAGCAGGAGAGGTCGGCCGACGCCTAAAGCATGCAGACAGGTGCAAGAGTGAGTCAGGTTCAGAGAACATGTCTGGAGGACTACAAGCACCAGCACAGCCCTGCATGCCTGCAGAACCAGGGGTACGAGATATGTATATACTTGTAGAACTACGAGTAACAGCTCAGCTGCAAGTCTGCAGCTGAACTGTGACAATAACTATTCTATTGCTATCTATTTAGAAAACCTATAGTGGTATTAGAATCCTTTGTCTATATTACAATGTATCTAAAGCCAAGACAATTTTTTTTATTTTTACTAAATTAGTAAGAGGGTAGAAGCCATTTCAGGTTTTTATTGATTTTTACCTCCTTGGGGGATTCACCCTCTCTATCTGTCCTGGAAAATCCAAACATTTGTATTGACACTGGAACAGGAATAGATGGAAAATCTTCTAATGGGGTCATGTGTACTGGTGACAACTGAAGAGAAATGTATTCACTTTGGGGGACTTTCAACTCGCCTCTTTCTGTGTCTGCAGGAAAACAAATGAAGGGGAATGCCCCCACTTGGACACAGATGGCAAAAACTGATAAGGGTTTTAAGCACTACTTCCTTCATCAAAAAGAAAAAAAGTTTTTTTTTACTTTAGACCAGGGCTGGACAAATCCCAGGACCCAGACAGCCAATGCGTCTTAAAAATGACAGCTGGTGCCCAACTTTTGAGGTTGTCGCCAATGGAGTTGGATGCTATAAAAAAATCCTGCCGACTCCTGGATTGGACAGACAGCCTCCTGAATTCTTTATTAATCTGACCACCCCTACTTTTGGTACACCATAACCCCTTTGCGACCAGTGACATACATAGGACTCTTAAACTGTTGTCTCTGGACTTTTTTGGATACAGAATTTTTGTCGACGTTTCACTGATGCAATTTTTAACCTGGGCATGTTGGGTATCTATTCACACGTGGTAACCTCATCTTTTATATTTTACAAAAAAATGTTCCGTTAGACTTACCGGTAACGGTATTTCTAGGAATCTTCCAGGACAGCAACCTAAGTAGGCTTGCTGTCCTGGAAGATGATTGGGGAAATTACATATTTTCTGAAAGCCAAAACCCAGTAGAAGTAAATGGCGGCAGTTGCAAATTTTTAAGTTGCACTATATTAGCGCAGCTCTTTATCCAACCCGAAAATTTAGTGAAAAAGGCACTTAAGTTAACTTTAGTGCCCCAAAACACCAATATAATATATATATATTTCCCCAATCATCTTCCAGGACAGCAACCTAAGTAGGCTTGCTGTCCTGGAAGATTCCTAGAAATACCGTTACCGGTAAGTCTAACGGAACATATTTGGGGGTTTGAAGGAATATTCAGGCCTAAAATGTGGATTTTAACATGTGTGCAAAAAATGAGAAAAAGGCCTCGGCAGCAAAAGGGTCCTTAAGGGGTTAAATGTTTATTTAGAAAACAAAGATTGTATCTGAAATAAAAAAAGATGCACAATATCTGTTTAAAACATAAACAAAACATAAACATTTACACTGAGCAACATCCAAAAAAGGTTTTTTTCAGAGCGATTTTGAGCTCAGCCACATGAGCGACATTGAGCTACAGTGCACATTTGTGACGCTACGTAGTGCAACTTATCACAGGGACTTCGTAGCTGCTACATTGGGCTGCAACCAATGTCTTGATGTGACATCATTCCTTACTTATTATATTTCTGTGCAAAAGTGACACTTCTGTAGCGCGACAATGTCGCCCAACATTGAGCTACACCATTAAAGTCTATTGGGCCAAATCGCACAAGATCGCCCGAAAAATAGGTCATGTTCGAGCTACAAGCTTGAGCGACGAGCTACAGGCGACATTGAGCTGTGAGATGGAAACAGCTCAATTGAAATGCATTGGACAAGCTACATTGAGTGACATTGAGCCGATATTTGAGCGATTTTGTAGCTGAAATCGCTCGATAAATCGCTCAGTGTGAACGGGCCCCATTCACACTGAGCAACATGTACCTGGAGCGGATTTTCACGCGATCGATATAGCGCGACTTTTCAGGCGACGATCGCGCGACCTTCATGCAAATGGAACACATCCGTGGCAAAAAGGGTCCTGCACAAGCGACAAGCTACAGGCGACATTGAGCTGTAGAAAAGAACAGCTCCATTGAAAATCATTGGACGAGTGAGTTCTCGCGATATTGCGCGGCAATATGCGCAATTTTTGCACGGAAATCCGATCATTGTGAATGGGGCCTTACAGTTCCCTTTATGTTTCTCTAAGAAATGGAAGAATGTGTATGTAATTTACGGAGAACCTCAGTGTCCAGTAAGGGCACTCATATTGGTCAGGGGGACTGACCGGTAGGCAGGGCTGTGCCCTAAAGTCACAGAAGTCAAGCCCCTTATAAGAAAATAAACCAGTTTCAGGGGAATGGACAAAGGAGAATTATTCTGGCTAATAAAGTTAATAGAAGAAACAGATCAGCAGCAACACAAAGAAAAGAAAAGAAAAGAAAAAGGGGGAATAACATCCCTGACAACAGCATCACCTTTAGAGTGTGTCTGGCCAGTCAGAAATGTGTGCCTGGCAGACCCTATATATAGGTCTGTCATATTAATTAATGTTTTAATTATTTTTTTTGGGGGGGGGTGTTTAAGACAACTACAAAAATTACCATATGCCCTAATGATATGCATGTAGCAAAAATCCCCTTACATTTAAATTGGCAAAATGAACTTGTCAGGATACCAGTGTGCCATAGCAGGGAATTTGGCTTGTTGGGAAATCACTGTATTGTATCACCACAGATGCATTTATGAAATGGTACAGTACAGCCAACAAGCTCTGAATATTTACTGTGCAATATGTGTGAACAAAGACTTACCAGTGTTCATGTTTCCAAAAGAACAGATCTATAACACATATATATATATACACATACACACAGTCACAGAACTCGTATACACAGGCTGATTTTTGTTAGGTATTCCAAAGATTCATTCATCCTTTGTATTAATTAAGTAGTGTATAGGAGCCCTGTGAGTATTAGAAGTGGCATTTTTTTCTGCTTGGGACAAAACACTCAGTTGTAAACAGGGCCCATAGAAATGAATGGGATTCCTTGTCTTGAGCATTTAGTTGCGCTTAGCTTTGAGTGACAAAACGCCTAGATGTAAACAGGGACTAAAACTACTGATTGGGTGATATGCAGGTTTGACTGAAGTTAAAGTGAATCTAATCCCAATTTCTTTTTCAGTTTCTTCATTACATTAAAGGTTTTTATTGCTGCCTGGGTCTCTGATGGGGTGTTTTACACTCTCTACTGTCAATGGGACTGAAAGTAAGGAAGAATAGAAAATTAAGCGGTCAATGCAACAGGAACCAGGGCTTGTTTCCACCAGCTGATCGCATTGTTCCGTGCCCAGAATGCAAGGTATCGCATACACTAAAGGCCGTGACACACTGCACGCTCCGGCACGGAGCTTCGCGTGCAGTGTGTGAGCTGAGTGCAGTCAGATGATTGACTGCACCTTCAGCCAATCGGCTCGTCTGTAACAACCGGGCAGACGTCGCATCCCGTCGCGCCGGTTTATACGCGCGAGCCGATTGGCTGAAGTTGAAATTGTTCATCTCGGCACGCTCAGCTCGGCGAGCTCTCGCAAGCTGAGGTGCCGAGAAGAAAGTGACATGACACACTGCTCACAAAGGCAGCGCGCTACAGCTCCGCGCTGCTTCGCGTGCAGTGTGTCACGGCCTTTAGACTCCTTGCGTTCTGGGGCGGGGCAGTGCATTCATGTCAATGGCACTGCAGACACTTCTGGCAGCAAGAAAAAACATGTAAAAATGAATATTTTCTCTATGCCTGTGTGTGTGAACCCTGAGAAGGCAATTTATTTCATCTGGATAGTTTT